TTTTAGTCAGTCAAATTGATATTCTTAAGTGAGAAGAGGTCAATAGTTTGCCTCACTATCAAAATATATTCACTTTTATACTCATTAAAAATTTAAGCTAAAATGAGGATTTTTTCTGTTTGTCAAGTTTTGATGTATTTATGCTAAGCTGAAAGTATTTTTATTTAGCTTCTTATATGATGCTGATTAAATATAAAAATCTTCATTTAAATTTTCTGAATTCTATTTTAATTTATTCACTCACCCAGATCATAAATTTCTTTTAAAATGAATAATGATATCAACTTTATCACATGAAAGTTCAATTTTTTTCGTCAATGATCATAAAACTCAGTTACAGATAAAATTTAACAAAAAATGTATTACAGCATTCCATATTGATTCATGACAAGAATACAAATATTTTAAGCAGTTGGGGGGTGGAGAAACATTTTGCATGGCTACTGAAGTTTCAGGAATTATGATAATAAAACATCAAAAATTCTGCACCTTCTTATTGCAAATCAAATATAATCTACTTCTATTTCTTTCTATAACACTTAATTAAAAACATTTTGCTAAAAAGTATAGAGATAAACACAGAATTTTAGGTGCAGAAGATGGTTCTTTTACTTGTCAAAATTTAAACTATTATTCTCTTGTTTAATTAAGTAAATAAATCATTAAGTTATTATTTATATTTTTGAAAGCTGAAACATTTTATTAACAGAAATCAAACACAATAATAAATGCAAACTACATTACTGATAACAGCAAGGGTATTTTCTGATTGCCTGCTCAACCCTCCCGAAAGGTTGCCAATTGTTAGTGACTACTTTGACAACAGCCATTTTTTTAAATGGTGGCACACTAAACAAATGCAATTTCTATAATTTAATAATAATGGTGCAAATTCTATAATTTATGAAGTACGACTTCATAGAATGCAAATTTGTGAATTCTCAAAAGGCAAAACGCCATATTTATGAAGAAATCATTTCTTTTCCATCAGCTGGCAAACTCCACAGTCCCACTATGATTCTTTACAAGCCTGGGTTGCTATATAAAATAACATTTTGCGACATTATGGGTCGCCCTATTTCGGTGACATAATGTGCTGCCTAGAGAGCTTTTTTCAGGGTTGGGACAGATAATCAGAAAGTACCATAACAAGCTCTAATATAGTTAGTTCAAAGTCTAAGCATTAGTAAGCATAATGGGGGGGGGAACCATAAAATAATAAACAATTTTAATTTTTACGAGATAAAGGACTCAACAAAAGTTCACAAAAGTCAAAACCTTTGCTGAAGAGTTTGAAGGTAAGAATAAATATCATAACACCTAAAAATATCAATTTATATATCACCCAGGTAAAAAACATGATGTTTTGAGACAGTAACTAAAATTCTTAAATTTTCATTCATTATGAAAAGCATGATTGTATTATTATATTTATTAAATAAAACTGAAAGATATTTTCTTAAATTATTCATTGATTCCTTACTATATATTGAACAATTCCAGCCAACAGCATTATCGTATGTGAGGGCATATAAGACACACCCTTATTTAGAAGGCCACATACAAGGAAAAAAAGCCAAATAAACAATCATTGAATGCAATTTCCAAACATACTTTTATTAAGGAAAATTAACAAACAAGCTATTTTGAACATGATATGTAAATTTCAATAATGAATAAATGAATGTATGGCAAGCAATCAAACATAATACAAAATAAAGTAGAAACAACACAAAACACAGATTCAAGGAAAACGTTGCCTATCATGAAATTTGACTTTAATCACTTTCAAAACCATAAAAATCCTTTTCACTATCATCATCATCGAAAACGAGAAACGTTGCCTATCATGAAATTAGACTTTAATCACTTTCAAAACCATAAAAATCCTTTTCACTATCATCATCATCGAAAACGAGAATATCGTCATCACTACTGTTTCCGTCATCGCTAGTATCACCTTCTTCGAATAATGTGTCATCTTTTGTTCCGTCAAGAGCATTACTGATTCTGCACTTCTTAAAGGACTTAACAATTATTTCAGCCTTTATGCCCTCCCATAATCTTTTTACCCACTTGCACACTTGTGAAACAGAGGGCCGCTTCATTCTACCTGAGGGCGTGATGTGGCTCTCCCATCCACTTGTTCCATCGTTTTTGCACTTTTTCCTTAAATGGCTTATTCACTGATACATCAAAAGGCTGCAATTGGCTAGTCAGTCCACCAAGAATGACAGCTATCTGGGTTTTTAATTCTCTAGCTTTATTCTTTATGGTTTCAGTTCAATGGGTGCTAAACTGATCCAAAACCAAAAGAGAGGGTTTTTCTTAAGAGTCCATCAGGTCGCCTCACCCATACGTTTTGTAATCACAGTTTCATTCCAGTTTCATCCATCCAGCCTTTCGGATGAACATGAACAATTACATCCGAAGTTTTTTCTTTCGGATGAGTTTTTCTTTTAAATATGAAAAATGGTGGTAGTTTTCTGCCATCAGCACAACATGTTAGAACTACTGTATATTGGGTTTTTTTCATGACCTGTGGTTTCTATGGGTATTGATTTAGACCCTTTAATACTCACAGTCTTGTTAGATGGTACATCAAATGTGAGTGGAATTTCATCCATATTTCCTATTTGACCCGAGCTCAAAAGAAGTTTTCTTGCGTGCATTTATAACAAACCTATGAAATGCTAGTATTTTTTTTTTTCATAAACTGCTGGCATTTTCTGTGTAATAGTTGTTTTTGTGCACATTGATAAGCCTTGCCTTTTCATGAACCTGTAGCACCAGCCCTCAGACCCTAAAAAGTTCTGATTCCCATGTTTTTCTGCAAATCCTTTAGCCTCATTGATTATCATTTTGGTTGAAACACTTATCCCAGATTTCCTCTTATCTATCACCCACATTTTTACGGCATTTTCAAATTCTGACCAAGATGGAGCTGGGCATCGAAGGTTATGTTTTTGTTTTTTAGCAGTCTTGAGTTGATCTTTCTGCAGTCGCCAAGTACGTATCATTTTTTCGGTAGGTGGTGGACCAAAATGCCTTGCTGCTGCTCGCTTTCCATGCATTTTGGCATAGTTTAACCTTTTAACTGTCATGCCTGAAATAATCTCGGGCACAGCTATTCCAAAATGTCATGCCCGAGTATTACTCGGGCTAATTTTTTTTTTAGTGCATCATGTTATACCCAAATATATATCATGAGAAGTTTATTTCGGCTTCAGTTCAACAGATGGCAGAATTTTATTGAAGGTTTCAAAGGATAGAGGTTAAAGTTCAAAGTGCGCTGCATTTTTTTGACTGTGAGGCAAACATTTCATTTTTGAAATAAAACAAATTTGACAATTTATGCTCCCAAATCATCAAAATAACTTGACAATTAAAAGGTTAACACTCCTAGTTTATACTGAATTGTATAGCTTAATCTCTTGTTTCCTGTAGTCATATTTTCCAGGGTACTTTTTTTTAAACAAATAGTTTTAAGCACTGATACTGACACGTTTATACAGAGTAGCACCGATACCAACACGTGTGTCAGCTAAGTCAAAGAAAGTCTATGTAAAGAAGGAAAGGCTCCATAGACATAATGTGACCGTCGAACCTGTTCGAACTTCGACATCAGCTTCGAACTTTGGCGCTTTTTGGCAACAGATATTTCATGCATGCGAAAAATAATTATGGCAGATGTAGAAAGTTATGCGTGTCTAGACCTTTATCCGGGCTAAAAATATCATTCAGTATTGAAAGTTAACCTGTTTCCTTCCCATATAAAACGCAAGTAACTTTTTTGAGACCAAATTTAGGAAAAAAGTGCGTCTTATATGCCGTCAATTACGGTAATTTCTAGCACTTTGAAATAGGAAAAATAATTTTAAGCATTTGTGCATTATTTTTTATTTAATTTAATATTATGAAAATACTGAATATTATTTTACAAATCTCATTGAGAAGGAACACGGCACCATTACAGAACAGATTATTATTACTCTATACAATTACAACTTAAACATTAAAAAAAAATCTATCATTTTAAAAGCCCCCCCTTTTTTTTAACCCAAAGAATTTTGCCTCACTGCCTTTTGAATTTACATTTTAAAAATTTTCCCCTTATTACAAATTAAAAAATTTAAATATTCTGTAGCATCAATACTTCATTTTCTTTGGTTTGGTTCAGTAATTATCATTGGTACTTTTCTGTTATTGATACCAGATGCAGAGGATACATATGTGTGCATATGTGTATGTGCATGCACATACATACGTATGCATATACATACATGCACTCCTACACACATACATTTCTGAATCCACTCCCAGTAACTGAAAGTACCTTATTATTTTATAAGAGTAAGAATTTTATTAGAGTTATCACTTAGTAACTGTTCCTCACAGATAAATTTAGGAGATACACTACACATATTTTGCAACTTTTATAAATCTTAAATTTAATTTAAATTGGCTCTGAATATTTAAGCTTGATTGATTAAACAAATAACACATGAATAATACTAATAAAGCTAACATAAGAAAAAACTATCACAAAACTTTGTTTGTTTCTTTTCTGTAATTCATTTAATAAATAAGTGCACAGAAGGATCGTATTCTCAAAACTTAGGAAACAAAATAAGAAATTATATTGAAAAGACACCCCCCAGCAAAAAGGTTTATAAAATTTTTATTAACTGATTATTATTATTATTTTAATTTTTATTAACTTAGTAGTATGACAAATCATGGTGTAATAAAAAAATTAAAAACTATAAAGGTTTATCTATGTTAATAAGATTAATATGTAAAATTCATTTTTCAGAATTTTCATGCATTTTATGAAAAATATGAGATTTACATGATAAATTGTACCCTAGTGCCATTAAAATAATAATTGCAATATTTCACTGAGCACTTATTTAAAACTGGAAATATTTTGCCAATTACTGCTTTTCCACATGGATCATAACTAATATGCAAAATAAAGTTATATTACTTTTACTTACATCTTGCTTTGATATTCCAAAATTATGATTCATTTTCTCACAAAGCTCTTGAACAGTTGCTTGAGAATCCATCAATATACCTACTTTCATCTAGAATATACACAAAAACATTTCTTCATTTTAGGAATTTAAAAAATGTAGTAGAACTCATATGAAAGAATAAAACATTAGATTTTATTGCAACATAATATCTTTTATATACAGTACACAGATTTCAAAATAGCATATATTTTATTTATTTATTTATTTATTTTTTAGAAACTATACATAACAAATGCAAAATATCAGGTCTGGGAAAAAGTTCGTGGCATTTTTGGAGTAAAATTAAACTGGTTTTCTTAAGGCATGAAATAGAATTTATTTAAACCAATATGCTGCATTATTATTGACAATGTTTTGGCATCTTTCAGGTAAAGCCATGATACCATTAGTGAAGAACTGTGGTTTCTGGTTGAAAAACGGAGTCAAATGGTTTTCACAGGCCTCTTTCAAAATCTGCCTAATTCCACTGAAAGAGTTCTGCAGAGATTGGAACAAATGATAGTCTGATTGTGCTATGTCCAGACTATATGGTGTGTGCATCTTAACTTCTCAAGCAAGCTCATGAAATTTTTGATCAGTCGTCAAAGAAATGTGTGGTCGGGCATTGTCACGATGGAAGATAATACCTTTCCTATTATTCAATTCAGGCCATTTTCTTTCAACTGTCTGACATAATCTCTCCAGTTGTTCACAGAAGAGTTGAGAATCAGGTACTTTTCCGTTTCGCCGGCGCAAATCTCGCCAAGCAGACTTTATTGGCGACAACATACAGTATACACATAAAAAATATTAAAAAAAATGTTAGTTTTAAGAATTCTTTTTTTAAAGGCATAAACATTAAACATTTTAATATCACTTAAAATTTTATAAAAACCGAATTTATAAATAAAGACAATAAATTTGTAAAAAGACATTAATTAAGAATTTACTACGCTTTCATGGTTCAGCATCCTGATTCGCCGGTTCATATCACGTAACCCCAAGCGATCTCATCTCACGTAAACTACTACTCTCTACAAAAATCTAATGCTCTCAGTAATTATCTACATTAATTTCAAGTTAAATCTTAATTTGGAACACAAGTTTAAATGCAGAAAATATTTCAATTCGTACGAATAGCTTACTCAGAAATTATGTAAAACTGCAGTACTTTACTTCGCTAATGCATTCTCATCAGAATTGATGAATTTAACTCTTTTGACTTTACCTTTTCTATTTTCGGCTTCGGGTAAGCGCTGTGATTGCATCCTAATTGACTTCTTAAAATATCGAAAATGACTGAACATCTGATAAATAACATAAACCATACAACATAAAACTGAACTATCTGATAAAAATTCTATGTAATTATATGTCAGTATTGAAAGAAACAATCAATCTGATAAGAAAAAGCTGCGACTTGTTTTGAAAATGAGGCGTAAAAGGTTACCAGCGAGAATATTCCGTTTGGCATCGGTTGCACCATTATTAGCGACTTTATCGCTTGCGCCGGCAAAACGGAAAAGTACCATCTGGAATCGTCTGACCAGCTGGAAGTAGCTCATGGCAGAAGATTTCCCTTCCAGTTCTATCACACACAAGGCAGGACCTTATTCAGCATCAATCTTGCCTTTGTGGCAGCTCCCCACCCTTTATCCACAACCTTTTATGCTTGTCGTTGTTGTACATTATCCACTTTTCATTCCCGGTTATGACACATTTGAGAAATGGGCTTGAGTCCATTGCGTTTCAGCAGCCTATTGCAAATGTTAATTTGGTCTAGCATTTTTTTTCAAGTTTAACTCATGCAGAATGCAGATATCGAGCATTTTTTTTGTAGCCAGCTTTGTGTAAATGGTTCAAAACAGTTCTGTGATCAATGCCCAGTTCCAAACCAATGTTGACACAACTGATGTGCTTATTTTGTTGGAATTTCATCAGCTTTTTCAGTGATTCGATGGCCAGAACATGAGGCATCTTTTAGGTCAAAATTACCAGAATGAAAGCGAGCAAACTATTTCTGCACACAAGATTTTGATATGGCACCTTTTTTCTGTGAGAAACACCAGCACAGTGTTTCTCACAAGTCTGTGTAACATTCTTCTCTTTGTTGTAATAATATTTCAAAATACAGCACAATTCTTCCTTACTTTTTCCACTGTCAAACAAACGCACAGAACTTTCCATCCACTGCACCCTATTCAAAGTTTATATATTCACAGTAATGCTCAAAGAATCACCTTTCCAACAAGCATTTAGTGGTGTCACTCGATTTCTGTTTCCTGAGTTATTTAGCATTGACACCATCTACAGGAAAAATATCACAAACGTTTTCCCAAACCCAACTATATATAAAAAAAAAATGTACATTATACACACACACATATATATTTGGTGGTCGTGTGCTTAATGCATGATATAATTAAAGAAAATAAGAGTAGACAATCTCCTATTACAAAAGAATATATTAAGTGCTAAATTACAATTTAAATTACATTGCAGAGATCAACGCAGAGCTCGGAACGCAGTTCATGCTACCGTCGCGTACAGTTGTCTCTCGAGAAGTCTGAGGGAGTAATGACGTCGCTTTGCTGCTCCGGTTAAGAACTGGATTTTACACGTGGCGCCATCTCACGAATAGAAGTTGAAGTATCTGTCGGAATGCCACAGTACTCCCCCCCAAGTACCATCGATACGTTATAAGTACTTTGGGTTAAATTTAACCTTTCTTCCAGATCTGGTAGTTTTACGTTGCTCTTTAACGGGATGTAAGCTTTCTTTTCGGGAGTTATGTTGATGAGGAAGTTGTTGGATCTTGCATTAGAAATGCTGGTTTGAGACGATCGATTCCAATCACTGATTGTTTACCATTGCAGATGATGGTGAAATGTTTCGGTGTTATTTGACAACTTTGAATGGACCATCATATGAAGGTGTGTTAAAGTTGGCTTAATTGCATCGTTGCGCACGAATACGTGCGAAGATTGTCTCAAGCGCAGGATGTACAAAATAGCTTGGCTGTTATGCGAAGATACTGGGGTGCTGTGTCATCCAATTAAGCAATTATTTTGACATCCACTAGAAGGTGGAAATGTGTCAAGAAGTCGACACCAATAATGCTTGAGTGAGTTACATACACAATAATAAACGGCCAGTTGAAAGTCCGGCGCAAGTTTAAATAAGTGTCAATAGTTTGGTGCCGTAAATTGCAATCTGGGTACCATTTGCTGTATGCAGTACAAGTTTATTAAGTTGGTAAGCATTTGTTTTAGTTCTCGGGATCATTTGCGCTGATATGTCTGCTCCAGTATCCTACCAGAAAACATAACTGAGTTGAACGGTCAGATCTGTACAATTCTGTCAATGTGGCGAACATTCTGTTGGCCAGCAGAAGACCGCCCACTTAGTTTCCCAGTTAGTTTCCCACTTGTTCAAAAGTACATAGAGGAGCACACTTGCGTGCCTTGAGCGCCAAGATTCATATGGATAAAAACATATGCCACTTGCAGGCTCTTTGTATTGCATTCAAGCATTGTGATGAGATCGACTCCTGCTTGGCTTTGAAATTTATTACGCATGGGCCCTGATTCGATCGATTGTATTGCCGTGAAGCATCAAGACTTGTCGAGAGTTCAGACACTTTCTTTGGTCAATTCAGCCACTTTTTGTTCCGAGGGATGAACTTGAAGGTGCAGCATTAGCAGCCCTGACATAAGCTGGAGTAATAAGTTCATTAATTTTGTCAGCCATTGCTGCTAAACGGGTGGGTTAGATCTTCATTGAAAGCAGCAAGAAAAGAATTATTTGTATGTTATTAGGGAGTTATTATTTGTATGAAAGCCATAGTGACTTCAACAAGTCATCACTGAAATGGCTTTCCTGCCAGATCACACATTCATGTACAGCAAGTATGAGGGTCGCTGATCACCAATGTTCAAGTCCTTGTACAGTAAAGTAAGTATTTTTGAAGATTCACTTTCTGAATTATATTTCAATGAGCCTGCTGTTTCAGTTTGGAATATTTGTCACTAGTCAGGTGGTTTAAGTATTAAGTCATGCACTGAATTCAGAATATCAGACTCAATTGCTGCAACTACATGGTTGAATTTTGTAGAATCCTCACTAATGTGAAACTTCTATAATAAAAATAGAAAACTGTGCTTCGATTTGTGCACCCGACAATGATGGTGGGTTATTTTTCCAGAACAGGTGGTGGCTTCACCGCAACGTGTATGATTTGTGGCTCTGGTGGAATATCGTCGGGCATACTGATAGATAATTTTCACTTAATTAATAAACACTTAACAGCACAAATATTGTAGCGTGAGGATACACTATTGATTATTTTACCATGATAACAATAAATATTTTAACCATGCAGAAAAAAAATTACGTAACAATACACACACAAATAAGACAGGGTCAGCAATTACACACACAAATAATATTTACCGAAATGCATTTGAAAAGAAACCCCTATTTGAGAAAAAAAAATTGATGCGTTCATTTTGTATTGCGCACACACAAAATCACCACTTCACACTGCTAAGGCACTTTCGAAGGAAAAAGGAAATCACTCCTGTAGCACATGGGAAAAAAAATCACTACTTTCGAACACTGAGGGAAGAATTTTGCCGTAGCACGTTGCAGAAAAAATTACTGATGTAGCACATTTAGCGAAAATCATATTGTATCACATTTGTCACAAAAGTTGAATGATTCAAAGAATTATTGCACGACTGGCGAAGTCAGCGGAACGGAACAGATCACATTGATGATTTGCTGAAACACCTTGCGATGATATGCACGACTTTGAAAAAAACACAAGCAATATATATCAATACTTAGAAATAATTGAAGGGGTATGTTGTAGCATACATTTAATGTCCATATTCGTCGTTGTTATTTGTTAGTCAGTTCTCAGAATGCCTTGGATGCACGTGGCTTAGGGTCGTTGAAAATCCATTGTCAGTAGCGTACTCAGTCAAAGGTCACCACTTTTTGGTGGTCGTGTGCTTAATGCATGATATGATTAAAGAAAATAAGAGTAGACAATCTCCTATAACAAA